TGTGGAATATGTTCAGATACTATAAAATCAATGGAATGAAGAGGTGCCTGTGAAGACGTAACACTCACATTGCTGTTATACCTGCAGGTCTAATGTGCACAGTTCAACATTTGGATGTACATTTGGATGTTTGCCTTGACCAGCCATTCAAGGATGCTGTCTGTGCTGAATGGAATAGTTGGATGATTGATAGAGGATAAAACCCTCACTAGCAAACAACAATGCCGGCCCACTGAATCTATTGTGCGGTTTTATCATCAAATCTTGTAATACTGTTGGTGCAGAAACTGTCGTATGATTTTTCAAACAGTGCAGCATATGAAATTGAGCGGATGGAAAGAAAGTTAATGTGTTGTGAAGGACGACTGTGAAACTAAGAGCACCACATTTGATCTAGTCTGGGATCCTTATGATGACGTCACAGCCAAAGGCAAAGTGAACGTAGTGAGCTCTTGATCAGATGCCAGAAATTATGAATTCGGAGGGTTTTAAAATGTTTTGAATGGGGTCAAAGGTATTTCTGTAGAATAAATTCATTCAAAAAACCAAGTTGGATTGATTTAATATAAATTATTAATGTTATTTTCTTTCTTATTTAGGTCAAAGTAAGTAATTCACATTATATATTTGGCAAATATCATAGCCCACCATTTTTTCGAAAGGATTGTTTGAGACTTCAAAAGTCAACCTATATCTACAGTATATACAGTATATTTTCATATCTCCTAGCAAGTAACTCCAGACTGACAAACTGTTGACTGGCTAATTGAGACACTGGTCAGCTAGTATATCAATCAGCTGAAAAAGCATATTAACTAAAGGATCCCACAGGAAAGTTACCAAGCTACAGCCTGAAACATCACCAAGTGAATCAATGAACTCATTGAAACGTTTTTCAAAGTTTGCAAGGGCAGCCAGCAAAAAAGCAAATGAATCGAGCAGCTTCCAAGACTTTACAGCAAGCCAGGTTTCAAGTTCAGGTTGAAATCAGACAAACATAATGACGAGGGGCAATAAGGGGCAAGAGGTTTATCTGCACCCATACATTGTTACCTAGCTAATGAGGTTGAAAATGACTCCTTGTTTGCATGACATATTGATGTAAAGTCTCTGATGATTCATAATTAGTTGAATTAATAGCATGAATTTACAGATGTGCACAAGATTATGACAGGTTTAGGTAAGATGGATAACAACAAGCTGATAGCACAAGGACAGAATGACATAGGTTTGGGCAAAAGATATTGGTGATGTGAGGAAGAATCTATTTTAAATACAGGAATGGTGATGACCTTGAACTTGCTGCTGGCAAGGGTATGGAAATGGAGATATTGAATGATTTCAAATGGAAGTTAAATGGGCACTTGGAGGAAATAAACTTGCAGGGTTACAGGGATAGAGCAGGAGACTGGGACCAGTAGGACCAGTAGGAACGCAGATAGGTTTGAAGAGTCAAATAGCTGTCTCTATGTCAAGGAAGAGAGCACTGGCAAACAGATAAATCACAGCAAATGGGTTTTGATTGTATCTCAGAGTTTGAGAGGCAGGGGAGTCCAAGGTAGGTGAGGTATGACCTGAGGAACATTGTTCATCTGACTGCATATGACCTCCTGTCATCTGGTGAGAAATTCACGACAATTTACCTGCTCAGGCCCAAGTTAAAATCCAAATGTTGTCCCACCAAAGCATAGGAACTGGGAATTGCATAAACACACAAGCCATTCTCCTGCTTGGACTTCAGAAAGGAATTAAAATAGTAACTATTGGGAATTCAGCTAGAATAGCATTCAACGAGTAAGTTGACTGATCAGGATAAACACACTAACTGAATAGTGTGGAGTATTAAGGACAATTTAGCTGGCACTGGATATATGTACGTGAATTAAGAATTGGAGGCGTCAGCACAGGCAGACTGTAAAAGAATCTGAAAATGTAGGAAGTTATGATCGGCGAGACTGTCCAGGACGACTGCATTTGTAGAACTCTCTCTTTCTAACTAATTGTCTTAGACTCAGTGATGTAGAGTGTGAGACATGTAACTTGGGGTTGATTAATTTTCTTTTAATCGCTCATGTGCTGTGGGAGTCACTGGCTGGGCCAACATTTATTACTCATCCCGTATTGCTTAGAACACGGCTAAGAGTTAATCACACTGCTGTGGATCTAGAATCACATGTAGTTCAGACAGACTGCAGATTTCCTTCCCTGAAGCACATCAGTGAATTAGATAGGATTTTACAATTGACCGTGGTTACTTTTCAAGCCGGGGCCATCTGGATTATTAGCTCACTGACAATATTGCTAGGCCACAACATAGTCACAGCAACTGGAAAGAGGCAGGTGCAGGAAGAGGACTGTGTAGCATAGAAGTTAGGAAGAACCTTGCAGAGTCAAGGAAAGAAAGGTTAAAGAATCAGATCCAGTCCAACAGCCACATGAACCTTTTTACCTTTGACGATAAGAGGGATGGTGACTGGGCGGAAATTCTGACCATGGGATCTTCAGGAAAATCCAGTAAAATTGGCAAATGAGACATACTGGTCTGACTTGTCATGCGTACTTCAATTTCAGTATTACTGAATTTTCCCTCTGGTAGATTAAAAATGTTGCAGCTAGAATCAGTGAATAGAATAATATAGAACAGAAGGAAACCATTTGACCTATTGTGTTTGTGCTTAATCTCTGTGAGAGTTGTCTGTTTAGGCCAACACCCCAGCCCTTTCCCTGCAGCCTTACAAATTTCTCCTTTTCAAGTATGTATCCCATTCTTTTTAGAAAGATCCCTCTTAGGTTTTGCATTCCAGGTCATAACTCTCTGAGCAAAGATAAAACTCTCCTCATCTCCTCCCTGGACTTTTCTTAATAGCCGAAATCTGTCTGCTCTAATTACTGAACAGAAGCACTTTCTCCCTACGTGCTTGATCAAAGGCCCCTCCTAATCGTAAATGCCTCCATTCAATCCTCCTTCATGACCACCTCTGCTCAGAGGAGACCAGTCCCATCTTCTCTAGTTACTCCACATTGATTTGGATTATCTGAGACAGTCTCAACGGCAGCAAATTCCCACGTTCCGCAATCTGACACACTCCTACGCTGATATTTCCAATTCTATTTCTGTTTATCTAGCGGCTATGTATTTATTTAACTGTAGGGAATATGATCGTTAGAATCATAGACAACTTTCTGACTGTAAAGACAGAGAGCTCTGGGGTGAAAGTTTTGAAGGGGAGGGCTATCTCGAAACAGCTGGAAGGGACCATGGAAACAGAAAGTGAAGAACTACGTTTCTGCCCACTGGCGCAGGAAAGCATAGTTAGAAGGTTCTAATGATGGAGGATCAGGTGCTGGGACATTAAAGGACTTACCGTGTTTCAAAAAAAAACTGTGTCAGGATTATTACCAGAATTGTGTGCAAGTTGGTGGAGGAAAATTCAGATCAGGAAAGGAAAAATGTGGATGAAGTGTGTGTGTGAAAGAGGCCTCCCAACTCATGGGAGATGACACGAGTTAACCCTGTAAAGACTTCCTTACTAACATCTGAAGGTTTGTGTCAACACTTGGAGAGCTGTCCCAAAGATTAGGCCTGATGTAGTGATAGTCACAGAATTCTACCTTGCAATGTCCCAGAAAACATCCCTGGTTATGATCCCACTGACAAGACAGATCCAGCAGAGGAGGAGGAACAGTGGTATATACTTGGAAGGAGTTACCCTGAGAGTCTTCAGCATTGACTCTGGACCCCATGAAGTCTCATGTATCAGATCAAACATGTTCAATGTGTTTGATTCTCAACTGCCCTCTGGGCAATTAGGGATGAGCACTAAATGTAGGCCTAGCCAATGGTGCCCACATCCTATGAATGAATTAAATAAAATCCTTACTGTAGTATCCTACACCCAAACATCTTCAGCTGCTTCATCAGTGTGCCCCTCTCCATTATAAGGTCAGAGTTGGGATATTTGGTTAATTTTGCATGATGTTCAGCATCATTCCCAACTCCTCACAGACTGAAGACGCAGTGTCCAAATACAGAAAGACATTCAGGCTTAAATTGATGAGTGACAACTGACATTTGCATCACTTAAGCACCAGGCAATGACCATTTCCAATGAAGGAGATTCCAACCATCACCCCTGGACATTCAATAGCGTGTGGAGTAAACGAAATTAGCTGAACACTAGTATTGGTGACTTTAGGAAACAGGGAGGTGACCAAGTTGGATCATCCACTTGGCATTTCTGCCGGAAGGTTGTTGCAAATACTTCAGCCTTACCTTTTGCACTGATGTCCAGGCTGCATCCCTCCATTCCACACCCCCCCCCCCCCACCTTTATTGAGGATGGCAATATTTGTAGACCCTCCTCCTCCAGTAAGTTGATTAATTGTCCACCAACATTTATGGTTGGATAAGACTGCAGAGCTTAAATCTGGTGCATTCTTTGTGTGATCACTTATCTCTATCTGTTGCATACTGTTTATGTTATTTGTCACACAAGTAGTCCTGCATTGTAGCTTCACCAGGCTGACACCTTACGTCTGGTTATAACTGGTGCTGCTCCTAGCATACCTTCCTGCATCATCAATTGAACGAGGATTGATTTACCAGCTTGTTGGTAATGGTGCAGATGCCAGGCCATGAATTTACAGATTGTAACTGAAAACAATTCTGCAACTGCTGATGACCCAGAGGCCTTACAAATGTCAGATGAGTTATTAGAGCTGCTTTGCCATTTAGCATGGTGGTAGTGCCGTCATCCAAGTCATCTGGGTGAAAAAGCTAAAGGCACCATTTGTCACTTCCTGACAAATGAAATAATATCCATTTCATCTATTTTCCACCTCCTAACCCACTCCTTACCTACTTCAAGAGTTTTTCATGTTTGTTAACAGTTACTTGTGTGAAATTGTGTCAAGTGTCTTCTTGTATCTGTACGTATTGCTGAGTATTTGAGAGGAACAGATTAATAATATTGTGCTTTTTGTGCACTTACTTTTGTCAGTTGGCAGATCACACAGAAGTCATGCAAGGAATAAAGAAATTCCCACAAGTACGTTACCCTGTATTAACACCAAATCTCCATGGCTTTCGTGATGCAGTGAGTATAGTTCTGAATGTTATTGATTTTATAAGTATTTTTATATTGTGCTAAAAGTAGATTTTATACCATTAAATATTAGCCTATTATTTAAGTAGTTCTGATTATAATTTTTGAATACTGCTGTGTTGCCATTTGCAGCGTTTTCAAAACTGTTTCAAAATGTAAAAATCAAATATTCTTTTTGCAGTTCCAAAGCTCAAAAATGTGTGTAGGCTACTTGTAACACGGTTTACAGGTTCAGTGGAGGGGTACTGTCGGAAGGTCTAACTTATTGTACTTTGTACTGGCACATTCTCCCCGTGTCTGCGTGGGTTTCCTCCAGGTAATCCAGTTTCCTCCCACAGTTCCAAGATGTGCAGGTTAGGTGGATTGACCATGCTAAATTGCCCATAGTGTCCAGGGATGTGCAGGCTAGATGGATTGGCCATGGGATATGGAGGGTTGCAGAGATAGGGTAGGGGGTTGGGTCTGGATGGGATGGTCTTCGGAGGATTAGTGCGGACTCGATGGGCCAAATGGCCTGCTTCCACAATGTTGGGATTCTATGGTCTGGGAAGTCATAAGGCAAGGTGTGGTATAAGTGTGCACTTCCCCTTATTGATGCCATCTGTATATATCCCTCCATATAACATAATCTACTATGCAAACATAGGAACTTCAGGAAGAGAAAAAACCTAACAAGTTATTTTGATCTTTTTGAAGATCTGGACAAAGGAATTCATTTTCCAACAATAGACTCCCAATATTGGGCTTCTTCTTCCTGCAGTGGCCTTTGAAAAATTACTACATCTGCCCTCTTTTTGTGTCAATGATTGGAAAATTATGATTTGAGTATTAAGGATTGCTTGATTGCACTCTTGGTTGCTGGGACTCTCTCCTGAAAATGTTCTTCACTGATGTTAGAAGATGACAACACCGATGGAAAATGATTCCACCTCGGAATCTGCCAGTAAAATGCTGATTATGCTTGTTCTAAGCTTCCAGAAGACACAGAAGGCATTGTGATTAAAGGTAAAATTTAGACATAAAGCTGCAAAAAAGAGAGTGTACTACATTGTATTGAAAAGCTCAGTAAAGTTGAGGCAAGAATACTTGAGTTAGTTTCAAATGTGAGTTGATGGTTTTGAAATTGTGAAGTTTGAGGTGGGAAAATCACATTAGTCAAAATGACTTATTAGGACAAGTTATTTGTAATGGTTGCTCAAATGTTTTATATTTTCCATTTAGCAGAAAAGTTCTCTAGGTTACAGTCTGTCTGCTGAGAGTGAACATTCCACTATAGTACGAGTATACATTATAACCTTGAAGACCTTTTTGTAAACTGTTTTCTTTCTGGCATTGAAAAAAAATCCAATCTAAATTCATTTAAAAATTACACTTAATTGAACAAAATAAAATGTTGCTGAATTAGAATTTTCATAATCCATTTAATGTGCTGTGTTTTGGAAGTTTCCACAGAAACTCACAACCTAAAATGTTTTGTTAGATTGGTGTGCGCTTCTCCTCAATGTCATTCATTCCATTCCACTCTCGAACCTTTCAATGAAATATAATCCTCTTCATATGCTCCTATAGCCAATTTATTCCAAAGAATGGGACTAATTTTTATTTTGTAAGAGCAATTTACTTTTTCGCACCTGAAAAACATGTAATGATGATTCACAGATTTGTTCTGCAAAGTGATCAAATAAAGCAGAGTAAAGATATGGACAAGTAATCAAGAGATAGTAGGAACTGCAGATGCTGGAGAATCCGAGACAACAAGGTGCAAGGCTGGATGAACACAGCAGGCCAAGCAGCATCATAGGAGCAGAGAGGCTTTTTTTTGGACGTTTCGGGCCTAGACCCTTCATCAGAAAAGGGGGAGGGCAAGGGGGTTTTGAAATAAATAGGGAGAGAGTGGGAGGCGGATAGAAG